TGTGTGTGTGTGTGTGTGTGTGTGTGTGTGTGTGTGTGTGTGTGTGTGTGTGTGTGTGTGTGTGTGTGTGTGTGCGGGGTTGTGTTCATGTGTGTACTTGCGTGCATCTATGTCTGTGTGTGCGTGTGTGTGTGTATACCTGTGGGTTTTGTCTTCATGCACGTGCATTGGTCCCGCGCGTGTATACGTGCTGTGCATGCTTCAGGCCAGTTCATCGCCGAAAGAGGCCAAAAGTGAAGAAGCCCTCCTCCAAATCGCTGTGAGTTTGTCATAACCCATCTGCTCCTTTGTACTCAGCCAGCATCTCCATCCAGATTTTTTAGCATGGTCAGATGACTTAACAGCATGGTGCCCTATTTACTGTATTTCTGTACTCCTCTACTAATTGTATTTACATTTCCCTGCATTGCATTGCTGCACCATTTTCATTCACTCCCTCGGCTCAAATTCATTACAGCAATGCAGATATGTCATTGTCACATTGTGTTGCGTTTTCTGTTCTGTTATTGTCATTTCCTGCTTTTCCTCGCAGTGTTGGTAGGAACAGACCACAGCTGGAGCCATGGTTTCCAGTGAATGCCTCAGGCAGTGCATTTAACTTACAGTAATTGTTTCTCTTGCACAGAGGGCAGATTTGGGAAGGGTGGGTTGGTTAACCACCTGCAGCCCACAACCAACCGCATCGGCCTCCTCCAGAGAAGGAAGGAGAATGGAGAGTGCAGAAAACCCGAAGACCTCGACTTTGATAGACCATATGCTGGGATACCACTCTAAGCTGGGTTTCATTTTCGGGGGAGCTGCTCCTCATAGCCTCCTACCGGGGTGTAGGAAATACCAAGGCCTACAATAAGTCTAAAGACTCAGCAATTATGTATTTTGGACCATATTTCATATCCATTTGCAAACTTTGCCACCCCCAGCTGTCAGGATTGTTAACAACAACAACAAGATTCTGTAAATCAAGTGGAACCGTTTGGTGTCTGCAAGCCTTTCAGTATACCACTAATGCTTGTAGATAATATACAATGTCTCAGCTTTAATCAGCTTTCTTTCATGTCATGTGAGACTGTGTGGAAATATGATGAGTAACACGTCACTTCTGCTGCTACACAATGACGTCATGGCCTTGTGATGTCTCTGCGGCACATGTGGATTAGCTAACTATTTCACACTTGGAGTAACATTAAGACATATGTTGTATTCTTTCTCTGCACCAACGTGTCTGCACATGGAAGTAAAGTGGACTTAACCAACAACCAACTGCATCAAACATGTCGCCATACTCTTTTGTATTATAGTTATTCTTAACACCGATGAATGTCCTTTGTTACTACAGGTCATCCTCCTCACAGCTGTGCGATCTGAGATGACCTGAGTTTGCCTGCAATGATTTAAATGCATACACAGAATTCAACAAAAGTCTCTTTATGCCCTTAAAGAGGTCTAAATTAACAACACCATCTCACAATGATACAATCCTCCAGACTACGTGACCTGTAACAGAATGTGTCATTTGTGAATGCCATTTTACTCCTTTGTATTGTCAGTATCACACTGTAGAAGTATCCAAATAGTTTGTTCAGCTTGCTATACATGGTGCTACAAGATAACAATACAAGTCTGAAATCTTGCTGTACAGTACAGTATGTATTTGAATGTATGTTGTGCAATTAATATAAATGTTTACAATATTTTTTATAATACTGGAGAGGCAACCTCATTGTATGATACGAGTTGACAAAATGAACTTATAGGGAGAAACGTAGCTTGAGAAATGTCATTGTCATTGAGATTTGTATGTTTGTCCTTATTTACATCAGAAAAGCACTTAAAGGGTTCACTGTGAAGAGCTGTGCCATGTACATTAATGGACAGTATGCTTTGCGCCGGAAGAAAAACAAAACAGTGTAATACTCATTGATGTGAAGTTTACTTCTTGCATTTGTTAGCTTCTTTTCTTTTCTTTTTTTAGCCAATACTTCCTTTTAATAGAGTGCTGATAGTCAATGTGAATAAAGTGTTGTTTGACCATGAATATGACCTGGCTTTTATTTTGAAATTGTTAAGTAATTTACTGTTTTCATGTCCAGTAGGTGTCTCTGTCTGCCCGTTTCTTTGGACAACCTATGGTGGTGAGTGCAGTGACATGTGGAAGCTGTAACCTATTTGCTCTCAATAATGTCCCTTTCACTGTAGCATCAGGAGGGTTTGTACTTAATGTAATCTCAACAGTGGAATCCCAGCAGCTTGAGATCATTAAATTGGTAGTCATAGCATTCTGATTGGCACAGTCAAGTTAACTCTGTTATTTCCAGTCACGCTGGCATCTCAGTCTGAATAAACATGAACGCATGCCCACTTATGCACAACTTTAATCAAACTAACAAACTAAAATTTAAAGGTGAACTTAGGTAATTTTTTTAAGGTCATTTAATAGGAAATAATATATTGTGCTCATGAATATAAGTTGATTAGTGTGTAATAATGTGTTAGATCACAGGATATTAAACCATGTAATGGTTCAGAGTGATGATCAGCATCAGGTTCAAACCAGTGGATGCCTGCGATTTAAACACAACTTGGAATTAATCCATTAAAAATACACAGGAGCAGGCTCCACTTTGTGGAGGCCGCCATGTTTCCCAGCCTCTTGAATACAGTGGCCGAAAAAGACATTACACCATCATTACACCCGGTGTTTGTGCCTGTACACTGGCCAACTTACATCGTACACCTTATAAGTTACTTCTTTCCCTTTCAAACCATATATGTGAACATTTGTATGTGTATATCATTGTGTATTCATCATCTTTCTCGTTATGTCTTGTTGTTTTTTCTATGTTTTCTCTCTTCCCTCATTTCCACTTCATCCTCTTCCTCCTCATCTCAAACCTCGTCTTCTGAACTGCAGTTAAGACTCTAACACACCAACACAAGCATAAACATGCTTATTTATTCCTGATATTGTCGCAATTGCATATTCAACAGATTACACATGCCACTCTTCCATCTCTGGACAGCTGAGAAGACCCAGCTAAACAACAACAGCTGCTTATAAGCTAACATTTTGCTACTTTTATGCTTGACTGTCCTAAAATTCTCACTTTTCCTCTGATAAACAGCTTGATTACTTGATTAGAGCAGCAACGAAAACAGCAGTCTTACCAACAGAAAGGTTCAGGATATCCTCAACAACTCACCACTGTCATCGGGCATAAGTGAGCTTCACAGACCCATTGACTCCTATCAGACTCCTTTCACAAAGTTTTGCAGGCTCTTCCACAATGTATTGATGTGGACACCTGGCTGAAGAAATGGCAGGGTGAGTTATTTGTCTCATGGCAGCCACCATAGAGGATTCAGTTGTCTGCAGTTTGCAATCTACTGACATCCAGGCAAGATTTTACACACTGTGCCTTTAAAATAGCCATGGTATATTTTGATTTTATTATAGATTTGTGGAAGTAGAAAATATTCTTTCTTTGTCTTAAAATGTAGTTTAAGACACAGTTTAAATAACCAGATGAACAATGGCAATAAAAGACTATTCTATTCTATTCTATTCTATTCTAACAATTTCCAAAAACATTAATACGCTGCTTTTTAAGAGAAAGCACAGGATTATCCGCTTTGATACTTTGTGCAAGCAAAGCCCTTCAGTCAGACCTGCCCTAAAGAAACCAGAGTCTAGGTGGAGGTATTGCACTAAATTAGCCAGGTAACTTAAAAAAAGAGCATGCAACAGCTTCTCTGGCCAAAAGTTAATGAACAACAATTAGTAGTACTGGCTATCGCCTGTTCTTCTGCACATGCTCTCTGTTGTGCACGATGCTGACTGTGCTGAGCGCATTGCCTGGACATGCCTTCACAGCAGTCAGAAAAAAAGTGGGAGGGACTGGTCAAAGGGTGAGCCAGTGAGAATATAGATTATATATTAGACACAACTACTCTTGAATTTTCACATATGAATCGAATAATGTATTTCAGCTGTGTCATGCAATGCAAATCTGTTGCTTGCTTGCTTAACAAACCTTCTAATAAATAGACCGCATTTGTTAAAAAATAGCAGCCTTAGTTTTATTTAACTTAATATATGAAGTGAATTGAAGTTCCTGTGTAAGTTGGCACACAAACCCCCCCTCCCCCCCCTTCTAACCTTTAACATCTTATCACTTTACTTTGTTGAGCCAGCTGAGCCCTTAAATGTTTTGGCTATCTTAAAAAAGTGCCGCTTTTTCCAGAAAGCCAGTCGAAGGGCTTCAGGATGGGTGGTGTGGTGTGGAAGAGGGAGGGGAGCAGACTGGGTGGGGGTGCAGACTGGGTGACCCCCATCGCAACCTATGACTCACGTGCAGAGGCGGAGACTGCGTACGGGATTTGCCACCGGAGAGCCGTCCCGTACTACTCACTGCTCGGACAGTTCCGTGCGCTCACAAAACTAACCTTACAAGCAAGAAGAGATAAAAACAACAACAACAACTGTACAGTTCCTTTCGCTGGAGCCTCGTTTAAAATGTGAAGAGCATGGCCGGGACAAGGTAAGCAGACTCTTTCTTTAATTTCACAGCGGCGCGAAATGAAGTGGAGAAAGTTTAGAAGCCGCCGACGCTGAACCGGAGCCGCAGCTCGCGGGATAGTAACATTATTTTAAGCCTCTGTGGGTATTTTAAAACCTTTGAAAATAAAACGTTTTTTAAAAATCTCCACCAAAGTCTGTTAGGGGTGACTTCTAAGTTTAACAGATTATTTAAACCGCGAAATGTTCTTATTCTTTTTTATTTTCGATTTTAATTATTATCTATCGTCGGTGAGTTAAAAGTAAAACATTACACTGTAGCTCGCTAACGCCTATCATGGGAAGCTAGGTGGCAAAGGTTTGACAAAGTTTTTAATTGTAGGGAGAAGCTGCAGTGTGGTGGCTGTGGTGGGAGACGGAGGCTACTTCTTAATTCTATCTAGTCTCCAAATGGGCTTCACGGGCTTAGCTCTTTGCTGTGGTTTTAGGAGCCCGGTAACCCAAAAAGAGGGCAAATGTTCCACAGTCCATTTGTTGCGCCTGTTTCTACTACTGCTGTGGCTCTCAGATTCAGCTCCACGTGTCTTAATTTCTTCGCCATCTGTTTTCACTGCAGATGTGCATTAAAACTTTGTTTAGCTTTCATCGGTTGCTTGCTTTAGTCCCCACGGTCTATTTAAAGTCACTTACTGCTTTGGCTACAGATTTTCATATGGGAACTCCTTAGTGTTGTGATACATGCAGTAAAAAGTCCAATTCCTCGTCCTGTATCTGCTGTTGAGTGCAGTCCATTAGACAGTAGCTGACGAGCAAGTTTTCGACTCAGCTGTCATTTATATTAGCCTAAAGCTGTTTATTTTGGCAGGGCATGCCAACCTGACTTCCTGGGCGCAGCAGTTTTCACCATCTCCCTGCCCAGCTGGTGCTCATCTGATGACTTTTGTTTGCATTTGCGTGTTTGCATTTGCGTGGCGTTGGTGTAAATTTCTCTATCTGCTCAGCAAATTGCAAGAGATAGATGAGATACTATAACAGAGGACAGCGATGTCGTTTGGTCAAAGTTTCCATAGTTCATGAGTTTTTTCTGTGAGATGTAGGAACCACAGTTGAAAATGAGGATGTTGTCTCGGTGTTTACTCTGCAAGCTCACAACAGTGGGCAGACAATCTAGAACAAGCAACACATCCCCTTCAACAAGATGACTCTAAACGGTGCTTTCTGCAAAGAAGAGACCGGATGTCCATCCCAGACAGACAATAGGGAAGTTTGTTTGCCTGTTGACAGGAAGTGAAGCCTGTCCTGCACTGACGGCTGCATGTTATGAGTCATGGTTTGTTAATAATCGCTGTGATTTCATTAGCTTCAACGTACACATTTCCAGCTTTCACTCCTTTCTCTGATCCCTTGAGGATCAGTGCTCTTAACACTCAGCACGCACTTTTCACCTGACTTTGATTCTCTGTGGCCTGCCACAGTGACTTTGTAATGAGGTTAAGGTGATTTGTCCAAACAAATTTATCTGTACCTGAGCAACCACTCACACTGCGAACTGTGGGGATTACAGACAGGTTTAAATCGCAGGCATCCACTGGTTTGAACCAGATGCTCATCGTCACTCAGAATCATTACGTGGCTTAATATCCTGTTGTACTTTTTAGGTCTATGACACAAATTCAAGAGTTAAAAGAGGTGAACAAGTTTATGTAACGTCAGTGAGCTAAGGTGCAAATGAAACCCACAAAGTGCAATTAACACATTGAACACAAAGAATCTGCCACGACCTGAAGATCTATTGTTGTTAGTGAAATATTAATCCCTCCCTACACGTTGAGCCCCAGCGATGGCCTCTTAAATCATAATCCACTCCTCCCCTCAGGCCTGCGCAGGCCTGGCGTTAACATCTTCACTGGCCTGCTCTGCATTTCTAATCCTAGAGAGTCTGCCGTCTGCACCTTCACTTCCTCTAGAGGACAATCCGGACGTTCCTTTCCTGCGTGGCTCCTCGCTGACCCCCTTGCTTACCCTGTAGCTGCGCTCTGGGATTAGACTCTGGCCTCGTTTGTCATGTCAGCAGGGGGAGGATTCGCGGGGGATGGTGTGGGCTTAGGCCAAAATGAAGTTACAAACTGCTGCTGCTGGTGGTTGTAGGCAAGCAGGTCAGATACTAATAAAAACTGCTGTTTTGACAGCACCCAGATAGCACAGGTGGAATTCTTGAGTTTATTTTATATAAAAGGGGCGATGCACAATATGTATTCATCGATAACCCTGAATGATTTTACAAGATAATGTTTAGAGATGAATGTTTGTGGTTATTAAGCACAATTACCTCGTAATAGGGTCATTCTTTTTTTGTGTGTGTGTTTGGACAAGTAACCCCATTGTTCCCACTCTGACAGCTGGTGTGCTGATAGAAAGGCTATCTTCTATGTGGTAAACACCCTGATGCTGCAGCTTCTGTTGCACATGTTCGCTCTCGTCCAGAGTCTTATGTGACCTCAGAAGTACCCTCCAACTAA